CCCTTCCCCTCCCGGTCGCTCTCCGGCGCGGGCGGTGCGGCTCCGGGGGGTGCATCTAGGCGACGGCGGTCTGGCGTGGCGGCGGGGATCCGTGGCGCATGCAGGCGAGCAGCTGGGCGGCGGCGCCGCCGTTGGCGGCGGGGCGACGCGGTGGCGGGATCTGGCGTCGTCCGCTCGGCCCAGATCTGGGCCCTTCGGGCCCCATCTAGGCCTGGGCGGGCCGGCGGCGGGGATGGCTCCGGCGTGGCTTCTAGGAGGCAGGGGAGATGCGACGAGTGGCTGGGCGCCGGCGGCGACGACGCCGGCTTGCTGCATCGCGGCCGGCGGGGCTTAACGGGCCTGCTTTGGACCTGGCTGGGCCGGGGGTGGCCCGGCATGCCCCGCTGCCGCGTCCGGACGGCTACCGCGACGGTGCCGGAGGCACGGGCCTCCCGCACGACGGCGGTGGAGGTGGTTCCCTCCCGCCCGGCGTCGGTGTTGCTGCTCCCGTCATGGTGAGCTTCTCTTCGGTCCTCTTGGCCTCGTGGTGGTGTTCGTAGTGAGGCGGCGTGGGTGGCGGCGCTACTGCGTTGGCGCATGGTGGTGGGCGACGGTTTGGCGGGTGGGTTCCGTCCGGTTGGGAGGTTGGGGTTGGTATGCGGGAGAAATCCCTGCCGGCTTCGGCCCCGACGCGGTGACACCTGCGGGTGCCACCATTCCTTCCTGGAGGGTGTCGGGAGTTTCCACCCCCACCTCCCTCCGCGTGCCCGGGGAAACCTGAGGACTCGTCCGGGCAGCAGCGTCGTCGGCGTCGCATCCCTTCTTGGAGGTGCTGCTTGGTACGCGGCGGATCAGAGCCTTGGTCTGTGGTGATTTGTCTCCGGTGGGCGCCGTGGTGGCGGGTCGTCCGCGCTTTGCCAAGCTGCTGTGGTTGGCATTTGTTTCTTCTTCTTTTTTTCCTGATGTGTTGTGCTGCTCGCCACAGCGTTATCTGTACTCGGTGTTGGTGCTTTGGAATACAAAGCGGGGGGAAACCCTTTTTCGGTAAACCATCTTCTTGACGTGCGACTTGATGCATTCAACAGTAGGGAGCTCCTGCCAGAACTTGGCATGGTTTTTTCCAGTGGGTTCAGTTATAGACTGAAACATCATATCAGTAAATGGTGCATTAGGGAGATGGATCATGCAAGAGGTAATGATCTTCCATTGCTAATAAATAGTTGTATGAGGGTTAAATAACTGATTGAATAATTGCATGGGATACAAGGATATCACCTCGATGTGCAGCGTGTCAATGTTGGGAAAGCATCTGAGGTAGGCCACCATCATCTTGACATCCCTTAAGACACCAAAATTAACCTTCAAAGCCAATATCTTGACGCTTGGAACCACTGTACTGGGGCTCGGCACTGTGCGAGGCTGCAATGGCCAAACATGCACCAAAAGAAGCAAATATGTCACCTCATACATACCAATAGGTATCCCATGTATTACTCTGTACCGAGAGAGTGATGGAATCCTGGAAAGTTCATAGTATGCTTTGTTGGAACTTAGTAATACACCTTGGAAAAGTTCAAAAAAGTAATACACCTTGTATTTTGAAACAAACTGGGTATTTTTTTTAAGATATCCAACAACATCAACAATGCAACAAAGCGCGTCCAACCCTTCTAGTAGTATGCTTTGTTGGAACTTAGAAGCCGTTCCTCATGGGCCCATACGGTACACGGCATCCAGTAGACGGCAGAGGGAATGTTCTTACAATTATTTAGTGGTTCCAAAAAAATTACTTCTACCGATACCTCTCTGGTTAATATTTTTTTTGCGAAATACCTCTATGGTTAATTAATATGGGCTAAGTAATTTTGACTAGTAACATGCAGGTCTTTTAGACTTGGCTAAGTGTAGATTTCTAACGAAGACTGCGAGGGAGCAGAAATTGGATTTTCTTACTATCATGAAGACCGATAGAGCTAACTTTACATCCCAATGTTTAGGTAATATTTCTTGTGGTATAGATTATGCATGGTACTATATACATTTTAGGGAAGATCAAGTGGTATACTTCTTGGTGTGAATAAGGGGCTGTTTGGAACTTTGGATGGCACCCAGGCTAGCCACGCCAAAGGAGGGCGTGCCAAATAATTGGCGATGGATTCCGCCGCCGCCTGTTCGCCCTGAAGTTGGTGTAAAAAGTGAACTAGCCACCAATATTTTGGCATCGGTTGGAGGATTTGGTGCTGAACCAAACAAATGTCATGACTGGTGGTCAACATCCATATTTTGGTAAGGGTGTTGTTGGCTATCATCCAAAGGTTGACGAATGGAAGTGGAAAACTATGCTGTCAAGTTTGACCTGCAA